ACTGGTTTGTTACCAAATCTATGATTTACTGGTTTGTTACCAAATCTATGATTTAGATTTACTGGTTTGTTACCAAATCTATGATTTAGATTTACTGGTTTGTTACCAAATCTATGATTTACTGGTTTGTTACCAAATCTTCTATGATTTAGATTTACTGGTTTGTTACCAAATCTTCTATGATTTAGATTTACTGGTTTGTTACCAAATCTTCTATGATTTAGATTTACTGGTTTGTTACCAAATCTATGATTTACTGGTTTGTTACCAAATCTATGAGATTTACTGGTTTGTTACCAAATCTATGAGATTTACTGGTTTGTTACCAAATCTATGAGATTTACTGGTTTGTTACCAAATCTATGAGATTTACTGGTTTGTTACCAAATCTATAATTTGGTTGGTTTGTTACCATTTGGTTGGTTTGTTACCAAATAGTGGTTTGTTACCAAATCTTTTTTCTTCACTCTTGATTCCGCATGGATTCCGATGAAATTGCCTTTAACGCCGTACCCTATTTCGTCATTTACAAAGACGGTCGAATCGACCGGCTCCTCGGCGACGATTTCGATCCGCCTGGTATCGACCCGAAAACCGGCGTTGAGTCGAAAGACGTCGTCGTCTCACCGGAAGATTCCGTTGCCGTTCGGATTTATAGGCCCAAATCCGTCGCAAAGCAAGCTCGGAAGCTTCCTCTTCTCGTTTACTTTCACGGAGGCGGTTTCTGCGTCGGAACGGCGTTTTCATCTCTCTTCCACCAGCACATCAACGCCTGGGTGGCTAAAGCCAACATTGCTGCTGTCTCCGTCAACTACCGGCGAGCACCGGAGTACCAGCTGCCGATTCCTTTTGAGGATTCGTGACTGCCTTGAAATGGGTCGCGGCCCATTCAGGGGGAGCGGGGCCGGATGAGTGGCTGAATGAAATTGCGGATTTGAACCGGGTTTATTTGGGTGGAGATAGCGCCGGAGGAAACATTGCACATAGGATGGCGCTGCGGGTGGCGACGGAGGGGCTGGCCGGAGTGAAGATCAAGGGATTGCAGTTGATTCACCCGCATTTTTTTGGGGGAAAAATTGATCGGAGAAGAAAAGGAGTGGGATCCAAAGGATATATTTGTGGTGAAGAATCTGTGGTTTGTGGTTTCGAAGGATATTAAGGAGCTGGATCACCCGATTGTGAACCCGGAATACGACCCGGATTTGGGGTGGCTTCCGGCGGAGAAAGTGGCGGTTTATGTGGCGGAGAAGGACAATCTAAAGGAGAGGGGACTACAGTACGCGGAATGTCTGAGAAATTCAGGTTGGGACGGGGTCGTTGAGGTGGTCGAAACCGACGATGAAGGCCATGTCTTCCATTTGTTCAATCCGACCAGCGACTCAGCGGTGGAGTTGGTTGAACAGCTAGCTGCGTTCAGTAGCAACGACTGTCATGGTTAGATGAAGGCAGACGACTAGTTTTTTTGTAATTCTATGTAGTTTAAGTTGCATGTTTAGAATCATTCAAGTTTAACACAGTCGATCTTGCTTGTAGAGTGATTCAAATCTCAAATAAGTGTTATTTCCTTAAGATGCCTTCAGATATTATCCGAGTTTTACTTTCTCTTGGAGTGATACCTTATCCTTAGACTAAGTGTTCTAACCTTTTCGTTTAACCAATGACTAAGTTTCTTTGTAATTATACATAGTTTAAATGGTAGGTTTAGAATCATTCAAGCTAGACATGATCTGAAGATTCAAATCTCAAATAAGTGTTCTTGCCTTGATATATTCGACCAATAAGCTAATCTAAATCTTACTTCTCTTGTAGTGATTTCTTATCATTTGGTATTATAGTTTTTACTCGAGTTGATTTCTTATCGTTTTGTATTAGAGCTTTCTCTTAGGTTGATTTCCTTATCAACAGGTCAGAATGGGTGGGAGAGAACTTACGCCCTCCTAAAAAGGGTTATTACTAGTCGAACCTTCGAGTCGATGTGACATAATTCACGAAGACATGTCTTATTTGCCAACAAGACAAAGTCGAATGAACGAAATTGTAGGGTTGTTGGAACCTCTACCAATCCCCTCTCAGCCATGAGAGAGCGTATCTTTTGACTTTTTTCACGCACCTCCTGAAGGTAGGAGAATTTGAGCCCATCTTAGTAATTGTGGAAAGGTTTTTTAAGTACGTCATATTCGTCCCAACTCCCAAGTCGTGTTCTGCTAAAACAACTGTCCAACTATTCTTCCAAACGTTGTAAGGCTGTGGGCATTCCCACCAGTATTGTCAGTAATCGTGATGGAAGATTTACAAGGACCTTTTGGACTGAGCTGTTTAAGTTATTGGGGTCAAGCTTAAACATCTCTTTAAACTACCATCCCCATACAGTTAGACAAACTGAAATGTTTAATAGCATGCTTGAAGAGTTCTTACATCACTTCATCGACACATGACAAAAGAACTGGGTTTAGATGCTCGACGTTGCTCAGTTTAGCTTCAATTGTCAGCTAAGCTCGTCGACAGGGAAGACCCCCTTCGAGATAGTATGTGACAGACAGTCATTCATGCCTCATGTCATTGACCACCTTATAACTTCACCAAAGAGTGGAAGCAAAACTCCAAAGTGGCACGTGTATACTTAGAGAGAGTTTCGCAACGAATAAAGAAGTGGACAGACTTAAACATAGACCATTAGAATTTCAAGACGAGTACCAAGTTCTTATCAAGCTGAACAAGAACAGTTTCAATTATGAGGGAATAGGTACCAAAGACTAGGCGAAAGTACGAAGGGCCAATTGAAGTCATCGAAAAAGTCAGGAGGACTTTATATCCTTTTCAACTACCAACATGGACAAAGAGTCATCCTATCATCCATGTAAGTAGCTTGAGATCGTACCACACAAACTATTCACCACGGGCTATTCCAAAATCTAGAATAGTCCTATAAATCAGGGGCTTGCGTGTGCTCCTTTTGCCGAATCTCAACGCTCCTTTCATAGGCACCACCTTGAGAAATACGTGGTCACCTACAACAAATTTTGGATCATTTATTCATGAGTATGCATAACTTTTGTACTATTTTGCACAACTTGTATTCTCATTTTTATCTTATGTACGACTCCATTAGTAAGTTGCACTAACTCGAGTCTTAATAACTGATATTTACCTACCTCTTCTCAAAACACTACATCCGTCATCTTTACCTGTACAAAGCTTCAAATAACACCATCTAGATGGTTGCTTGATATATGTTATTGTAAGTAAATTCCATTAAATGTCGGTGTGCGTTCCAGCTACTTGTAAAATTTATTATTTGAAAATTTACTCAGTTTATAAGCATGGTTAAAAAGTGTTGGATGATGAAAGTCCCAGATCGGCTAATTTAGGGAATGATCATATGTTTACAAGTGAGGAATACTAACTTCATTGGTATGAGGCCTTTTGGGGAAGCCCAAAGCAAAGCCATGAGAGCTTATGCTCAAAGTGGACAATATCATACCATTGTGGAGAGTCGTGTTCGTCTAACATGGTATCAGAGCCATGCCCTAAACTTAGCCGTGCCAAGAGATTGGCAAATCCTTAAATGTCGAACAAAGGACTCCAAAAGGAGTCAAGCCTCCTCGAAGGTACGAAGGCAGTCAAAAATGACTAAGACTCCAAAGGAGTCGAGCCTCGATTAAGGGGAGGCGTGCTTTGTTCGAGGGGAGGTGTTGGATGATGAAAGTCCCACATCGGCTAATTTAGGGAATGATCATGGGTTTATAAGTGAGGAATACTAACTCCATTGGTATGAGGCCTTTGGGGAAGCCCAAAGCAAAGCCATGAGAGCTTATGCTCAAAGTGGACAATATCATACCATTGTGGAGAGTCGTGTTCGTCTAACATGGTATCAGAGCCATGCCCTAAACTTAGCCGTGCCAAGAGATTGGCAAATCCTCGAATGTTCTAACATGGTATCAGAGCCATGCCCTAAACTTAGCCGTGCCAAGAGATTGGCAAATCCTCGAATGTCGAACAAAGGACTCCAAAAAGAAAAAAGGAGTCAAGCCTCCTCGAAGGAACGAAGGCAGTCAAAAATGACTAAGACTCCAAAGGAGTCGAAAAAGGAGTCAAGCCTCCTCGAAGGAACGAAGGCAGTCAAAAATGACTAAGACTCCAAAGGAGTCGAGCCTCGATTAAGGGGAGGCGTGCTTTGTTCGAGGGGAGGTGTTGGATGATGAAAGTCCCAGATCGGCTAATTTAGGAAATGATCATAGGTTTACAAGTGAGGAATACTAACTCCATTGGTATGAGGCCTTTTGGGGAAGCCCAAAGCAAAGCCATGAGAGCTTATGCTCAAAGTGGACAATATCATACCATTGTGGAGAGTCGTGTTCGTCTAACATGGTATCAGAGCCATGCCCTAAACTTAGCCGTGCCAAGAGATTGGCAAATCCTCGAATGTCGAACAAAGGACTCCAAAAAGAAAAAAGGAGTCAAGCCTCCTCGAAGGAACGAAGGCAGTCAAAAATGACTAAGACTCCAAAGGAGTCGAGCCTCGATTAAGGGGAGGCGTGCTTTGTTCGAGGGGAGGTGTTGGATGATGAAAGTCCCAGATCGGCTAATTTAGGAAATGATCATAGGTTTACAAGTGAGGAATACTAACTCCATTGGTATGAGGCCTTTTGGGGAAGCCCAAAGCAAAGCCATGAGAGCTTATGCTCAAAGTGGACAATATCATACCATTGTGGAGAGTCGTGTTCGTCTAACAAAAAGAACGTAAAAAAAAAAATATAAAAAACGAGAGACCATTTATCTAAAACAGACCTACATTAAGGAATAATGTTTTTAAAAATATTAAACCTTTATTACTATCTCCTTCGAATAATTTGTGAATATATTTTCTCGCCATAAAAATTATTATTATTATTTAATCAATTTTGATAAAATTTAATTTCTTTGTATTAAATAATTTAATTTTTTTTAATAAATAAGAAAAAAGAAAAATAAAGAAAAAAATAATTATGAATTGAGTGGAAGCTGAAAAATGTTGGGGATAGAAAAATGAAAAATAAACGACTGTAAGTTACCAAGGAAGTAGCGTGAAATCTACTTCAGAGGGAGGAGAAGAGGCAAATCATCAAAGCTCATCGTTGAAGTTGTTCAAAGAAGAAGAGATCCAGGCGTTTAATGCCGACGGAGGAGTTGTTGTTGTATTCAGAGAGCGCCGGAGCTATGGGGTGGGGGTGGTCGATCTGCGAGGGAGTGGTGGCTGTGACTTCGCTTTGCCTTCTTGGATGGACGGGGCTATGGTTCTTGAATCGAAGGCTCTACAAGGAGTACGAAGAAAAGCAAGTCCTTGTTCAAATCATCTTCAGTGTTGTCTTCGCTTTCTCCTGCAATCTACTTCAGCTCGTTCTCTTCGAGATCATTCCTTTTCTTTCCAAAGAGTGAGTCTCCAGTCTTCAATTTCTGCATATTTTCTCACTTATGAACTTACTGTCAATTGTTTTATGTGTCGTGTGTCTGAAATTTTGAGTAATTCGGATCCGTTTCTTGTTTAATTTCTGTTCTTGTTGAGTACTTGGGGTTGAGTGGTTGCTTATATGGTATTGTTTGAATTAACTTGGAGAAGTGATCATTCCTTTTTTGCTAGACTATAATCAGGCAAGTAAAATAAGATTATATAACTTAGAGAAGTGATTAAGAGGTGATCTCTGAGTTTTTCTTTGTTGCTGGATAATTGGAAAAAGGAAGAAGATAGATGGGATTTAGGGACAATGGTCAGTTCAGCCCTAAAGAAGAAAAACAAAAAACCCCAGCTAATTACAGTATTTAGATTGAACTTGGATATCAATAGGCTGACCTGAATGGAGGAGTACCTCAAGCTTCAAGATGATAGGACCCTAAAATTCAACCAATTCAAAAATTTCACAACTCACACTCCCAAAATGGTGGCATTCTCCATTAAGATCATGAATTAACAGAAACAGCACCCCGAAATGTATAATATTCATGGTTGAATTGTTGCAGGTTATTCAGAAGTTAGGTACATTAATCTTTGTTTATTTTAATTGCTGCAGGGCGAGATGGATAAACTGGAAGGTGGATTTGTTCTGTCTGATATTGCTACTGGTTTTCATGTTACCTTATTATCATTGTTACTTGATGCTTTGCAATAATGGTATACTTCTTCCTTTCTAGTCTAATAACTGAATTTCATTATTTTTGCTTTCGTTAAAATTATTTCAATAGAATGAAAAAATCGAATACACTTAATAATCGACAATCCTGTTTGACAGGATTTAAGGTTAAATTTGAAGTTTCATTTTTCAAAACAATTGGGTGTAAATCGTCTAATACATTGCTTCCTATAGTCATATCTCTCTCATTGTAAATTGAGATTATTATTATTTTTTTTTGTAAATATCATGGATAACACATCGTATCCCTTTGGTAAATCTCAATCATCAAGAAGTATCTCTGACAAAAAAAAGAAAAAAAAAAAAGAAAAAATTTCAATCACAAGGGAAATTACAATTTTCTTTAGAACACAACTCATCAAAATTTCAACTTCAAATTCAACCTTTAATCCCTTCAACCAAAACCTAACCTTCCTCCAAATTAAAAATACATATCCATCTCCAATTCCCAAAGTTCTCAGTCCACAGCCATATTTAGAAATTTAAAGATTATTCCTCACAAGGTTCAACAAATTCTCAACTTAACCAAACATTAGTCTAGGTGATTTTAGATCTGATCTAGAGGAGAATGCTTACTCAATGCGGTAAAAATCTTACCAAACATGCAAGAATTTCATCAACTTATTATATCTTTTGATATGACACCAAACTTTCATTGAAAACGTGAAAGGATATATGAGAGATTGCAAAGAAGTACCCACACAAGAGGAGACCAACCTACAAAAATGGCTTCCAATCCAAAAAAATACACCTAATTGATAATTACAAGAGGCCTTAGAGGTCAGCGTCCACAAGGAAGTATTGGAAGCTTTGGCCTCAAAGTTCACAATGATATTATTGATTTTGTTTGAAGATGTCCTGCACGTCAGATTTCAAAGGGACAATCAACTAAGTAGGATCTTTTTGCATCATAGCCATTCCCTGAAAAATTGCAGATCATCATAGGACTTTATCTGTGGATGACCTTCATAATGTGAATGAATTTTGTTTTATAATAAACAGTTGATCGACTCAATAAGAGGAGCCACTTTATTCCTTGATGAGACATGATGCTGTTAATATGGGGTAAATTTGTCGTTTCGTGAGATAGTTTGATTGTATGGGGCCGTGGAGTCCATTTTATTCTGACAGAAAGTTAAGTTATCCTAAAAAACCATTGAGGCAAAAAAATTGGCGTCCTTAAAAATTTATATTCAACAATACATGCTCGATTGCAAGCTCATGGACAAACTAAGATCACTGATTGAACATTGGGCAAAATTATTGTTGCACAACAATACCTCAAGCTGACTTGGCCTCTAATTTCAATAAATACACCAATTGGCTATGCCTGTACACAGTTCGAAATTGCCTGAACAGAATTATCTCTTAGAACTGAACTTTTTTTTTTTTTTTTTTAAAAAGAAACAAATAATTGTGGTAGAAGAACGTTTTCAGTAATGGTGGTCACTTTTGTTGTTCTCAACCTTCTTATGTGATGCTAAAACATTTATTTTAGGCGTACGGAAGGAGCGGGCAGCTCTTGGAGCCATGTTATTCTTACTGGCCTTTCTTTATGCATTTTGGCGAATGGGCGTTCATTTTCCAATGCCTTCTCCTGATAAAGGTTGGCTATGTTTTTTTACTTTATTTTTTTCACTTTACGACTCTTCCAGATATTTTAAATTTTTGCTGTATGCTTTGTTAGTACCTGTAATTGAATAACCCCCACCCCTGGTCTCCCAAAATTCGATGTTCACTTGTTTCTCTTGACTGTAATACTTCTAAAAGCATAAGTCCTATCCTCCATTCTTGTTTTAATGACGTATTCTTTGGGATTGGTGGAGCCCTTTTCTATATAGTATTCTCTATGCCTTCTTTCTTCAGGTTGTCTTTTTTGTATGCCACTCTTGTTTTCTTTTATGTTTCTCAATGAAAGTATGTTTTTCATAAAAATAAAATGAAATAAAAAAAGAAAGAAAGAAAAGACAACTTTTTTTTTTAAAGAAAGGAACTGAACTTCATTGATGAATGAAATCAAGAGAATTCTTCCATCTAGATATGAGATTAGTGAGACTATAGTCCTTAAAGGAATTTGTACATATGCAACTAAAAGCTGCAAAGAGCACCGAGTAAAAAAAGGGATTGTATGGCTTAGCTTTATCATTGAAAAATGCAGTTATCCCTCTCCCTACTAATTGTCCAGCAAAAAGCTCTGACCAAATTAGTCCAATTGACTTTCCTTTGGGCTTTGAAGGGTGCCCCATTGGTGTCTATGAGAGGAAATCATGAATGTTAATGGGTAGCACAGTGAACCATCTGAAGGATTCCAATACTGTTGAACAAAATTGCATGGCAAAGGAGCAAGTGATGAAGAGGCGGCTTTTAGATTCGGATGCTTCCATGCACAAATTGTAGCAAGAGAGAGATAAAGCCTGATGTACCAGCTTTCTCTGCAGCCAATCATTGGTGTTGATTCCCCCGTGGCTGAGTTCCCAAAGGAAAATCTTCGTTTTCCTAGGATATTTTCCATCCCAAATGCTTTTGTACAGAGATTCAGCCTTGTTATGGCTATTCTACAGAAAATTAGCTTTTTTATTTGATTGAAGGGAAAAATCACCATGTAGGTCAAAGAAGGCTCCGGAAGTCCATAACCATCTACCAATTCCTCATTTAGAACAACTGCACAAGGAACCTTTTTTCGCATTCACCATTTAGCATCGAGGAGCAATTTTGGATATTTATCGTCTCTAGTAGTTGAATTCTAGTGTCTTCACTGTCCTACCCAACTATGGAATTTGAATGCATGTGATTGCAGATATATGCTAGCCTCATGTGTTATTCCTGCTTTTGTTGCTCCATTTGTGCTATTGAGTTCTAACTTCATTGCTAACTTTGTCAGAATGTTTGGGAACTTTGCTCTTCAACCATTCTGTAATTTTCTCTGTTTGATATTAATAAAATATGGGGCGAGTTTTTGTAAAGCCTAGAATAAGATTTTCTGGTATAGTTTTTGTTTTACGTAATAGTTTAGCTTGTCCTTTATGTTTGCTTGTAACTTTTCACATATCAATGTAAAGCTTGTTTCCGATTGTTTGTTTTTTTTTCAAAAATATTTTCTCTTCAGGCTTCTTTACCATGCCGCAATTGGTCAGCAGAATAGGGGTGATTGGGGTCACTGTGATGTCTGTGCTATCTGGTTTTGGAGCTGTAAATTTGCCTTATAGTTATTTGTCTCTCTTCATCAGGTATCTGTTACTTATTCCTCTTAATATAATCATTTGGGCTGAATTGAATTCTCTGTTTTTCTCTTCTAGATTTTTTTTTCTTTTTTTTTTTCCCATTGGAAATGCCTTTTATAACTCCTTTGGATTGTAGCTTTCTCTTCCCTTCTATTTTGTAATTTTCATACATTAATGATATTATTTCTTATTAAAAAAAAAAAAAATTTTGGCTGCATTTTCAGTTCAATTTTTGTTTCTTCAGTAGTGATTTGGGTACTCTGCTTCTCGTATATTACTACTTCAAATATTGCCAGTTAAAACATGAGATCATTGTGGCAACATGTAATTCATCTTGAGATGAGAGGCTTTAAGTTTGATAGGAATGAAGGAAAGTCCATTACCTTGTTCAGTTAGTAGCTGCAGAAGTGACCCTAATGCAACTATTATCCACAATAGAAGTGCTTTTAAAATGCATTTCTAACTTGATGTTGTTTTAGTTTTTTATTCAAATTAGCACTATCTTAATGGCTAGAGCTTTGCATTTCTCATAGTGCATATGGTTATGTTATATTTTGTAGAGAGATCGAGGAAACTGAAATTAAGGCATTGGAAAGACAACTAATGCAATCCATCGAGACTTGTATTGCAAAGAAAAAGAAAATTATTCTTTCACAAATGGAGATGGAGCGGGTTCTTGTCTCGGAGGAGGTATTTTAATATTAGCTTTATTAGGTGGTACATCTGGAACTTTATGATTTGTTGGTATTACTAACTATTTATTTTTCATGTTGAATATATAATTTTGTCCCCAATGTAATGGCAGTTTTCGGTTTTATCTATGATCTCTTAAAATTTTAATTTTATCCTACAAGTTTTAGATTTTAAGTTCTTAGTTTTTCAGCTGAGTTCTCATTAAAGAAATAATGTTGTGAAATTTTATTCTTTTTTGTCCTATTAATTTTTGTGAGGTGGTTTGTTGTCAACATAGCATTGCTTTTGTAATAATTTGCTAGGTCTTAACTTCTGGATAGAAGCCCTTTTTTAATAGTTAGTTTGGGTTGGATCTCTTGGATAAATTTGTTTCCATGTTTTTTAATGGAAGTTCCATTATCCATAAAGAACATTGCGTTTTTATTTGGTTCAGTCTATTTTGAGTTGGGTAAATTATTGTGACATCATTAATGAATTTGAATGCTTATTGTGACAGTAAGAACTTGTTTAAAAGAAACTTAGACACATACAAAATCTTAATATTTAATAGCATCACCAAATGTTAACGGATGAATGTAACAGAATTCCAAGTCTAGATCTTTCTTCAAGCGGCTAGTTGGTACTGTTGTTCGGTCAGTACAAGAGGACCAAAAAGAGCAAGGTTAGTTGTTGTCCTTCATCCTCTTAAAATTAATTTTTTCCTTCCTTTTCTTTTCTTTTTGCTTTCTATTCCCAAATAATTTATTACCTCTTTTAATTGCTTGCTGCATCTGTCTGATATTCATTTTCTCATGTTCTTTCTTTTTTCCTTGATAAAGTGTGACTTCTGGTATTGCTTATTAAAAAGATTCATTAATTTAACCAGAAAAAAAGATGTGAATGAAGTGCCATGATTTTCAGAAATTTATGTCATTATCCCATGATATTGTATGATTATCCTTATAGTTTTATTCTCATTTTCTTCGTTTCACCTTTGTTCTTTATTTTATTTTTGCCAATTGTTCCGGTTCTACGAAGATATTAAAAACATGGAAGCAGAAGTACAAGCTTTGGAGGAGCTATCAAAGCAGTTATTCCTGGAAATCTATGAACTTCGTCAAGCTAAGGTTTGTGCTGTACTGCTGTATGAACGTAGAAATTCTTAGCATAATTGCTTATATTACTTTATCCATCATCATTTGTAACGGCCTAAGTGTGCTTTAAATTTCTGTATGGTCATATAGGCTAGAAAGGTTTTTCCATGTCCTTCAATTTTACAAGTTTGGCTTTCAAGTTCCCTGGATAGTTATGCTTTATGATCGTAATTTACTATGTTTTTCTTTCCAGAGGTAGGTAGAAATGTCGATATAGTTATAGTAGAAGTTACTGTGTTTGTTGAACTATTGAAAATATTGCTGGAAACACAGGGAGGGTGGACAGTTTAAGTAGTTGGATGTAAATAGTTATGTATGCATGCATGCATGTATGTATAAATGTATATAGATAAGATTCCGATACTTTCATGAGATATTATCAAATGTACAAAACATCTTAGGAAACTACAGAATGCCATTCTATTTGGAAGATATCAATAATGGAGAATAATTTGAAAAAGAAAACTTTGGCTATGGCATTTCGGAAAAGAAAAACAAGCCTTTCGGAGAATGGTGGTGAAGAGCAATATGGGTGGATTCTTCGAAAGACCTAAAAATTAAGACAAATTGGAGAGATTTGTTTAGTCTTTGGAAGGAGATGGCAAAAATATCAGATTTCTTTTAGAAAAACGTGAGTGTTGAATTGGGTGACGGAAATGACACTCTCTTTTGGGACAGTTGGCTTATGAATCATCCCTTGAAGACGTTGTTCCCTTCCATCTATAGCATTTCTAACGCAAAAAATAGCAAGGTTCAGCAGCTTTGGGAGCAGGGACCAAACATTACCATTCTCAACTGTTGAGAATGAGAAATAGAAATAGAATTGGGATCGAAAGTATGATCTTCATTCATGTTTACCACGTTTAAATAGGATACAAACTATCACCTAATACCTAAAAATAGGAAAAATATATAATTAACTAAATCTTGTAAATAAATAAAATATAAGTTAATCAAATCTAAATCTATCCTAAAATATACTACTAACCGATCCTAACTAATTATTAAAATATATTTCCAAATATCATATCTTAATACTCCCCTCAAGTTGGAGAGTGTAGGTCAATCACACCCAACTTGTCCTTTAAAAAATCAAACTGATGTCTTCCCAAAGCTTTAGTAAAAACATCTGCCTATTGCATTTTAGTCGAAACATAACACGGTTTGATGATTCCAGCTTGTAACTTTTCTCGGACTATATGACAATCTATTTCAATGTGTTTCGTACGTTTGTGAAAAATTGGATTGGCTGCTATATGTAATGCTGCTTGATTATCACAATATAATAATGCTGGTTCGGACTGTGGAACATTCAAGTCTTGAAGAATGTATCTTAACCAAGTTAACTCTAAACAAGTATTTTCCATAGCTCGATACTCAGCTTCTGCTGATGATCTGGACACATTAGTTTGTTTTTTAGACTTCCAAGAAATAATTGAATTTCCGAGGAAAATACAGAACCCAAAAATAGACTGTCTGGAAGTTCGACAGCCACCCCAATCAGAATCGCAATATGCTTGTAATCTTAAATTGTTTTCAGATGGTAGTAGGAGTCCTTGACCAGGAGTGCTTTTGATGTATCTCAGAACTCGAAGAGCTGCCTCCCAATGTGGTTTTTTTAGTTCATGCATAAGTTGGCTAAGCATACGAACTGAATAAGCTATGTCAGGCCTAGTGACGATCAAATATATTAATCTGCCAATCAACCGTCTGTATTTACTTGAATCATTCAACTTTTCTCCTTCAGTTAAAGAAAGTTTCAACTTTTGCTCCATAGGAAATTTGTCTGGACGTGCTCCTGTAAGACCTGTGTCTTGAAAGATGTCTAGAGCATACTTTCTTTGAGACATAAAAATTCCTTTTCTAGACCGAGAAAATTCAATGCCTAGAAAATATTTCAAATTTCCTAAATCTTTAATAAGAAATTTATGGAGTAAACTAGTCTCGAAATATTGAATTTCTTTGAGATCATTGCTTGTCAACAGAATATCATCAACATAGATTAGAACTACAGTGAAAGAAGTACCTTTACTTTGGGTAAATAAAGAGTAATCTGCTTTGGATTGAGTGTAGCCTGCATTTTGTATAGTTGTAGAAAATATGGAGAACCAATTGCGAGAAGCCTGTTTTAATCCATAAAGAGATTTATGGAGCCGACATACTATATTCTCCCCCTGTCGGCGAAGACCTAGTGGTAAAGACATATAGACTTCCTCGTCTAGATTACCATAGAGAAAGACATTTTGAAACATCCAACTGATGGGTGAACCATTTTCGAGCAGCAGCAACAGTGAGTAGGCAACAAAGTGTAGTAAGTTTCGCTGTAGGAGAAAATGTTTCTGTGTAATCAATACCTTCAACATGAGTGTATCCCTTTGCTACAAGTCGAGCTTTATAACGGTCAACAGAACCATCAGAGTTGTATTTAATTTTATACACCCAACTACAACCAATAACTTTATGACCAGGTGGTAGAGGAACGAGAGACCATGTATGATTACGTTCCAAAGCTGCAATTTCATCATTCATAGCCTGCTGCCATAATGGGTTGCCAACTGCCTCGTCGTAGGTTTTAGGTTCTGTCTGGGATGTAATAAGAGCTAAAAAAGCACGTTGAGTAGGAGAAAAACGAGAGAATGAAAGGTAATGATGAAGGGGATACCTGGTGCCAGTGTCGGGACTTGAGCTAGAGGTTAAATGATTGGCTCCAGAAGACATCTCATAATCCTTATGCCAAGTTGGAGGCTGTTTAGTACGAGTAGAACGTCGGAGTGGAGCTGATGTATCAGGTGGGATAGGATTAGAATTAATGGGTGAATCTGGAGAAGGTGGAGGAGACGACGAAGTAGTAGGTGAAGGGATAGGAGGTGAAGGAGGAATAAGAGGTGAAAAGGAATAGAAGGTGGAGGATGAATGTTTGAGTAGGATGGATCATGAAGTGGTACAACAGGAGTCGAAGGAGCTAATGTCAAAGTCTGTGAAGCGGATGAAAAAGGAAAGTCATCTTCACAAAATTTAACATCACGGCTAATAAAAAATTTGTGAGATTGTATGTCATACAACTTGTAATCTTTATGACCACAAGGATATCCTACGAAAACACAAGGAATTGCCCGAGGTTCAAATTTTTGCTTAGGATGTACTATAGTTGCATAACATTTACAACAAAAAACTTTAAGATGATGAAATGTAGGTGGTCAATTGTAGAGTGTTTCAAAGGGTGTCTTGTTAGATAACAATGGTGATGACGTTCTATTTATAAGATAAACCGCCGTTAAAATGCACTCTCCCCAAAAATTAAGTGGAACCTGTGATTGAAAAAGAAGAGACCTAGTTACATTTAGGATATGGCGATGCTTACGTTCTACGACTCCATTTAGTTGTGGAGTATAGACACAAGTGCTGAAATTCAATGCCACAAGAAGTAAAGAATGGTTGCAAAGATAGGAACTCAGTCCCATTGTCTGATTGGACTATCTTGATAGTAGTATGAAATTGAGTTTGAACGAATTTAACAAAGTTCATTAACAAATGATGTACTTCTGACTTATGTTGCATTAGAAAAACCCAGTACATCGAGTAAAATCATCAACAATAGTGAGAACTGCAGTGAAAGAAGTACCTTTACTCTTAAGTAAATAAAGAGTAATCTGCTTTGGATTGAGTGTAGCCTGCATTTTGTATAGTTGTAGAAAATATGGAGAACCAATTACGAGAGACCTGTTTTAATCCATAAAGAGATTTATGGAGCCGACATAAAGAGATTTAGTAAATAAAGGTACTTCTTTCACTGCAGTTCTAATCTATGTTGATGATATTCTGTTGACAGGCAATGATCTCAAAGAAATTCAATATCTCAAGACTAGTTTATTTCAGAAATTTTTTATCAAAGATTTAGAAAATTTGAAATATTTTCTAGGCATTGAATTTTCTCGGTCTAGAAAAGGAATTTTTATGTCTCAAAGAAAGTATGCTCTAGACATCTTTCAAGACACAGGTCTTACAGGAGCACGTCCAGACAAATTTCCTATGGAGCAAAATCTGAAACTTTCTTTAACTGAAGTAGAGAAGTTCAATGATCCAAGTAAATACAGACGGTTGATTGGCAGATTAATATATTTGACCGTCACTAGGATAGCTTATTCAGTTCGTATGCTTAGCCAACTTATGCATGAACCAAGAAAACCACATTGGGAGGCAGCTCTTCGAGTTCTGAGATACATCAAAGGAACTCCTGGTCAAGGACTCCTACTACCATCTGAAAACAATTTAAGATTACAAGCATATTGCGATTCTGATTGGGGTGGCTGTCAAACTTCTAGAATTATTTTTCTGTCGACACCGATCTTCTGTATGTCTCTTTCTATCACAAAACTTACAGTGAAACTTAAGGATTCAACACTCATTGATTGTATGACCACTTTTATTGCAATGTTCACACGATTTGTCCTTGGCGAATTTTGAATATGTTGTTTTCTTCTGCACTGCTGATGCAATCGCAATCGAGTTATTCTCAGTAGGTTCAGAAGTTACCTGACGCTGCATCTCTTGTACAAGTAATGAATAGGCTTGCCTCACATTAGGTAATGGAGACATCATCAATATGTTAGATCTTCACCGTTTTATAAGACTCATTGAGCCCCATGAGCAATTGCATCAACTTGTCTTCTTCGCGTTGATCAATATGTATTTGACGTTGATTACAGGTAAATGGTGTGCGGTACGCTTCCAGTTCATCCCAAAGTGCTTTGAGCTTGGTGAAATATGTTGACAGTGCCATGGTTCCTTGTGACATCGTTGCTATCGAGTTTTGTATTTAAAAAATTGTTAGAGCATTCTTTTGTGAGAACTGATCGTGAAGATCAACTCACACTTGATGAGCTGTCTTGGCGTGAATAATGCCTTTAGCGATATCTGGTTCAACGGTCACGGCGTGGGAGCAAGTCAAAATAGATAGAAAAACTCACATTATCAAGATATTATCATATTGTTGCACTGATTCCAGAGTTCAAATTCGGTTGAATTTGCATCTTGGGACGGCTCTTCAATTGTGCCATCAATGAAGCCAATTTTCTTCTTGGCAATAAGAGCATGCATAACTGATTTACTCCAGGATTGGTAATTTGCTCCATTTAATTTGATTGGAACAGGTGAATATGCTGACTGATAAAAGTGATAAATATAATAAGGATGTGTTAAATCAACATCCGAAATTTTGAAGCTGGATTTGGCTGATTCCGCCATAAAGGAAATTTTGATATTTAAGAACACCAAGATTGGTGCTCTGATACCATGCTGAGAATGAGAAATAGAATTAGAAACTATCACCTAATACCTAAAAATAGGAAAAATATATAATTAACTAAATCTTGTAAATAAATAAAATATACCGTTAATCAAATCTAAATCTAACCTAAAATATACTACTGATTCTAAAGATCTCAAATATACTTCTACCTAATTATTAATAGCAACCTTGCTGGAAATTTGGAGGCCCTCTTCTCTTGATAGACATGGGCTTCCCTCGACAATACAAGAAACACAGTACCCTCCTGCACATTTCTTCAAAGATCTGCATGCTGTCCTGTATTTGGATTGATAATTGTTTATTATACAATCTGGGGGAATTTATGAACAGCATTATGTATGGTAGCTGAATGCTAAAGCTGGATGATCTGAAAGTCTGAAAAAAAAAAAAATCAAAATCAAAATAGTCAGATGGTTTTCTTTGAGAAAAGTAATTTTTTAATTTGATATGCTCCAGTCATGTGTGTAATAGTCCCAATTGTCTTTACGCAACTGTACCAATTAATGCTGAGTTTTCCAGGACGATTAGTAAATTACTAGTGCATTGTTAGTCACTCTAGATGAAGGATTAGCAATTGCTGTTCTTACCGTTTGTTGGTTCATATATTTCTCAATACAACAGTTTCTTACATGGAAAACTACTTCACCGTTCTTCTGACTTGGCAGGAGGCTGCAACTTATTCACGTACCTGGAGAGGTCATGCACAAAATCTTCTCGGCTATGCATGTTCTATCTACTGTGTGTATAAAATGATTAAGGTTTGTTAATCAGCTTTTTTTTATTACCGTCTTTTGTCAGTAAAAATGATTGGTTCTTGTGTTCAATAATTTATTATGAATTTTGGCATGATAATATTTGACAATAGATATTTAAAGCCACATTCGTGGGCTTTATAATAAATTGATGTGACAAAGAAATTGATTCGACGGAATTTCTAGATTAAATCTTTCATTAAATTCCTTCTTAGTTATTAGGAACAAATACCATTTCATTTGATTTTCTGGAATAAAATATAAAAAGAATGTCCTTTCAGTAGTTAATTACAAAGAACATGTCCAATGTGACATGAAGGGAGTTAAACTGTAATTAGAAAATGGAAAAGACGTTTTACTTCAGATAAAGCTCACAAGGAAGTAGATTCAATAAATGTATAGATGCTTTGGTGCTCATCCGAGGATATTATTGCATTTCTTTCCAACCATAAGTTCCAAAAAAAGAAAAAAAAAAAAAACTAACAAAATTTTGCTAGAGTCTTCTCCTTGAATGGGTAACCCTTTAGGGAGAGGGAGAGAAGAGTGATGATATCCCCTGGTCTTGTTATGTACCATCCAAAAGATTCTAGTAGAATGGTGCAGAAGGTTGAGGCAAAGTGGCAATTGCTGAATAAATGGATCTGTGTCTCTTGGTTTTTCATGCAAAGGTGGCAGCAACGGGGAGAGAGAGATAGCCTCGGGGACCTCTTGTGAAGTTTGTCATATGTTGATGCAAGAGTAGCTAGGTTCCCAAATAAAGAATTTGACCTTGTCATTAGTTAATGACCATGTTAGTTATTTCCATTTTTCTTTCTTCTCCAGCAACCATGATTGATCTTATGATTTTTTATTTCCCACATATTTAATGCTTCTAGCTTGTGACAGAAAACTATCAACCAGGAGGTTACAGTTCTTACTAATTAATCCTCAAGCCAATAGTAAAATGGAAAAGAATAGGAAGTACTGTTCATTCCCTAAATCACACTGTACTATAATTCTTGTTTTTAGAAATAAGAATAACTTTACATACACTATATAATTTTACTATAAAGTTTTGTATCATTTAAACTTGATCATTTTAATCTTGATCTTTAATAATATCATAACTTATCTATTGTTTCCTAGGAGTAATCTTAATGACTCCAAGTTGTTTCCTTCTCAAATTCTAGTATAAACGTATTGACACAAGATATCTGATTCATCTGATTTTTTTTTTCTTTTTTCCTGTTTCTGCAGTCTTTGCAAAGTGTTGTTTTCAAGGAGGTATTGTTATAATTCTCTATTATTGATTTTATTAATTCAAATCATTTTGTAGATGTAGATTCCCTTAAGACTATTACGTTCTTATAACCATGTTTTGTTCAATTCATATTCTTCCCACTTGATGTATTCCATGTTTTATCATTATTCAAATATATAGGCTGGCTCAGTTGATCCTGTGACAATGACGATTAGCATATTCTTCCAATACTTTGACATCGGGATCAATGCTGCATTATTGTCTCAGGTAGTCTTTTACGGTGCTAATTTTATTTCACCACCGTGTATGTAGCTACACTCACCTGATTTAATGTATTGCTCTAGCCATATTGGAAATAATCAACTTTTTTATCAAGATGTCAACATTCAGTAGTTCATAATGTTTGTTCAAATTTCAAATATTATCATTGGCAGAACCCAAGCTTCTATCACTGACAATCTTAATGAGGAAATCATAGGGTATTCAATTCTTTTATTCATCCACAGATTCAAATTGCAGATCATTCTTGTAATACACCTTTTGGTGGTGGGAGTCTACTATCCCTCTTCTTATTTCACTCTTCAATGAAATTCTCTCTCTTCTCAAAAAATTAATCAGATTTAATAATGATCAAACAGAACTGTTAGGGGAAGATGGAGCATGCTCTGAATATATGATCGACCATTTAATTCATATTTCACAATCTTTCTGTTTGTGGCTTCTGTTAATCCTTTTCTGACTGCCCTGCATTTCTTGGAATTTATGGTCATGGGACAAGCCAGACAGATCGTTAGGCATATAAATAATGCAAATTTATTTTAATGAACTTTTCGTTTGTGGGTCTTTTTTTTTTTTTTTTTTTCCGTAAAAAAGAAAAAAAAAATTGTGGTTTCTGTTGACCTGTCTTTTCTGACATTTCTTTTTATTTCTTCTGTAGTATATATCCCTGCTATTCATTGGCATGTTGGTCGTAATATCTGTACGAGGTTTCTTGACCAATCTAATGAAGGTATGATCTTTGACCTTCATTTTAATTGCTTGTTTTTAGTGATATTTAGGCTGCACGTTTTCCTTGGTGTTTTTTTTTTTTTTTATGACGATAATGGAAAATAACTGAACGGATGTTCCAAAGTGACCAAGTATCCCCATTTTGTTGCTACTTCCTTATTTTGCAAAAGGAACATATATTGTAAAAGTAATTAAGTTTAGTTCTGAAGCATGAGGCCATTTTCTCTTGCAAGTTGTCCACATGATTGTGATATTCATGAATCATATAATTTGGATCCCAGTGTATAATCTTTTTCCTTTCGAGGTGTGTCTGTCCAAGTGTGACCAAGCACAACCATGAGCTGCTTTTCTTTTTTATTACGGTGAAAATAATGCAATTATTTGGGCATTTATAGTTTCTACTTGTTATCTTTTTCTCTTATTGTTTGAAATAATAGCTTGTTCCAATACCTTGAAGCCTAAATATATACAATATTCATTTTACGTTTTTTTTTTTCCTGGCGTAGTTCTTTTTTGCAGTTTCTAGAGTCGGGAGTGGATCTTCGAGCAATGTTGTTCTTTTTCTCTCTGAAATTATGGGAATGTATTTTGTCTCCTCTATCCTTTTGATAAGAAAAAGCCTGGCAACAGAGTACAGGTATTTTTTTTTTATAGGAAACATAAATTTTCATTGATAAGATGAAATTACAAAAGGGGACCCTATCCAATGGACCACAAACTTCTCCAGTTGGTGGTCATGAGATTAGATAGACAATAATTACAATAAGTATTTATGATTTTTCTTGGAGTTAGAGGGCTTCAAACCATCTCTTGATGATCTCAGGGAAAAAAAAAAAAAAAAAAAAAA